TTTATGACTGTGTTTATTTAAAAAAAAATATGGTCAGACGGTATTTTGAAAATGAAATTATAAAATATTTGCTGCAACTACAAGCCTCATCCTGATAAAAGGCTTCAACAAAAAAAAATGGAGAAACTACAAGTTTTGCATGTATATCATTTCCCTTTCAAATAGCAAAAGTCAATCTTGCTGCAAGATCGTAACTGTGGGTAAAAACCAAGTGCCATATCTGATAAAAAAAAAGGAAGAATATAGTGAAAGAAGAAGGCAGAAGGCCTGAGCAGACTCACTTGTCAGGATGCAGAGCAGAAACAGATACTCCGTGTACGAGATGATTCCTAGTGATGAGATCAAGACAGGAAAGTTAGGAAGGTCACATTTAAGGCATTTTCTGCACTATGTTTACAGAAGTTTAAAGCTCCTGGATCTCAGGGCCTCACACACAGCCGCACACACTGACGCACCCTTAATCCTCCCGGCTGTGGAGATAGAATCTCAAAATGTGTCTTCTGCCAACCGAGCCACCAGCAGCCATTTGGCCCCACACAGCGTTCACAAACGTATCCAGCAGCAGACACGCTTGTTTCTCTGTGAATGTGTGTGTTTGGATAAGTAGGTGGAACATAGCTTAAGGAGTTAGATTTTCTCTTCCTCTCACTTTTTTGTGTCTGATCGCTCAGATAGATCGGAGTGACTCGCTCTCCCGCCGGCGTGCGTGACGAGTGCGTGTGACGGCGAGCATGACACCGGTTGGGAGTCGGAGTGTGAGCCTTGTGTTTAGCTGAATCCAGACTGCTTTGTGTGGAGCAGCTGGTTTGGAACCAGACTCGCTTAAACCGGCGCAGAGCCGGACCTGGAAAGACCAGAATGCTGCTCGGGTTTCTGCAGACAGCCTGAATGTTTACACTGCGACACACTCACGAATAAAGAGTTCAGCAAATCTTAATGAAATCATGATGAAAGGCATAGGACTAAAAATAAAACTTACATGCACCTAAATAATCGCTCACCTAGTTTGGTTTAAAGTTTACATTAATCGTATTTCTGGCTCTCGACAAGAAAGAACACTGTTCTTTGAAAAAATGCCACAGGAATGTCGGAAATAGTGCCACATACTAACAATTTTTCTTTGTACTGATAGTGAATTGGAAATTTTAATATCATGACAACCTTAGCAGCAACAACAGAAACATAAACTCTCCTTTTACAGGAAAAAAAAAAAACCTCCAACAGAATCTGGCTCAGTGTGAGCTGCCATCTGCCACAACTCGCTGAACACAGGCCATACTGTACATCGCTACAACTAGTGTAGACAGTGCAGCTCCTGCAAATACCAAACTCTTCCTTTCGCTCAGTAAATCTTAATAATTGTTCAAAAGACAAATAAACCTGGAATCCAAAGACAGAATCAAGTGTAAGTTCAAGCACCTCATTGATTGTAAAAAAGCTAATTGTTTATACCTACATATGATGAAACTTCTTTAAATTCTCCAAATTTTCCAGTGAAATTATGGTTAACGGAGAAAGTTTCAAGCTTTTTTTGCGAGCTCTAGAAAAAACAAATTCTGTAAGTGCTCTGTAGCATCTTAGAATAACCTCAAAAGACAAGGCAGAAAACTGCAAAACTGTGAACTACAGCCATAGATACTAACAGTTCTCCAACTATTTACATTTAGCCATATGCATCCTTTATGTTAAAGTAGATTGTAAAAGTAAACCAGCCCAATTTCACATTAGCCCCAACAAATTTCCCCTTTTGCAAAATGTCCTTTTGTTAAAGGTTGAGGTTAGAAGAAATGGGACCTCAGACTGCTCACAAGAGGAATTTGCATTAACTCAGACTTGTATGTAAATGTGAAGCCTGATGTAGTATAAATACAGAAAAGCACTGAAATAATGAGCTGTGGAGCTGAGTCCAGCCAACACTGTGCAGTATTACTTGTCTGAATTAGTCAGATACATAGGAATCCTAATGTATTTCCAGAATTCGGTGATAGCAGTCTTTGTGTTCTGCGGGATGTAGCATTAAGTGTCTTCTGCCATTTACAAACACAGATAAATACTCATATGTAGCTTACACAACAGAAAGTTCTGAAATAAAGCTGAATTACATCAAGGTAAATTACCAAAATAAATGTTTGAAAGTAATTAAAGTAAATTATGTATTATTATTAATGATTGTATTTTCAGCTTTTCACATTCCTCAACTTCGCTACATCCCCATATCATTGTGATGATTTTTTTTTAACTTCTTACCCTCATTTCATTGTTTTCTACACTTTCAAGTGAAACTAGTCCTCCTACATGTGTCCCTTTAGACCAAACCAAACCCTGGTATAAGATACAACCTGAGCATAATTTTAGTATCATTAGAGAGGAAGTGAATCACACATGGCATGTTATTTTTAGCATCTCCCTGAATGTGTGTGTTTCAGTGTAATTATCACTATGGGGAGTCGGTCCCTGACTGTGCTTTCTCTGTTATCTGCTCCTCTAGCAAATGCTTAATTAGGGCAAGCTTATTTCTCATCTTTCACCAGAGGAGAGGAAAGAAAAGGGGGTTGATTTTTTATTTTTTTTCCTTTTTCTCGGCAGGCTGTTTTGCTGAGAGGAACAGCATGATGACAACCTGGATTAGTGACACCTACAGTGCAACAAAAACTCACAAGCGTCATTTAATCAGAGATTGAAAACGAAGCCCTGTGCCGTGTTAAAAAGCAGCAAAAAAAACAAAAAAAACTGAAGGTTTCTCTGATTATTTTAAAGATCTTGTCCTAAAGTCATTTGATTGTTTTTTTTGTTCAGGCAGCGTGGATTTCAACAAATAATTAATGAAAATATGCAACCTCGCGTGTTATGTAAGATATTCCACTAGTCGTATTAAAAAACTGTCTTTTTCTTTTTTTTTCTTTTAGGAACAAACGAACTAAAGAGGCATCAAGAAAATAAATGTCTGGTGAAGGAAAGTGGTGACTTTTCATCTTGATCAGTGAGCAGCCAATTGTAAATACAAACAATTCAGTCATTAAACACACTACATTACGCACTACAAATTACATTAAGATTGAGAAATAGAAAAACACCTAGCCTTATTTATATATTTTTACAAAACAGAGAAGAGATTTGTAAATCGTAGCGCCTGATTTACAAAGTGAAAAACATTAATGGTATGGTCAGCTGGGTGGGAATTTGTGCACTTTGTACATCAAAAAAATAGATGAGATGAAGATTTGAGCTATAAATTCAGAGAAGTGATGAACTGTTTGTATCCACGTGTGTGTGTCGGCTGACCTCTTTCTCTCAGGTTGCGGAACAGTTTGGAGGATCCTCTCCATACGGGAGGAGTATCTGACAAGATTTTCTCCAGTTCCTGACATAAACACACAAAAAGAATGATCAAAATCGCTAGACACTGTAAAGACACAGGGTGCCATGCTCTAACTTGAACTTCATGAAGAAATAATGCAAAGAGTTGGAAAGTTAAATGTCCCATGCAATGGAAAACATATCAGGTAATTTAAAATGATGACTTCAGTGCATTCTAGAGAGAATCAGAAGTTAATCCAAGAAATGTGCGGAGCTGTAAGGAGATAAGGATTTTTACTTGTATCTTGAAATGTTGTGAAAGATTGAAAAGAGCCATGACAACAAAGCAAGAAAGATAAAAGATAGAACCAGAAAACAGGAAAGAACATAAAATAATTTGCGGAAATTACAAAGGACCTGCACATCCTTGCAGCTTGTTTGTTCAATACATGTACAGGCGCTGCAAGTCAAGCTTGTTTAGCTGAAAAAACTATGCAGTGCGAAGAGAACAACAGCAGATGTAACATGCAAAAGATGTTTGCCTGTGAGGAGAAGCAGGAAAAAGGAGAGATATAAAGTGTGTTTCCCACCTGTTTGGTCAGGGACCTCCATGGCCTCTTGTCTGCCAGAGAACAAGACAAAGGAGGAGAAAGACGAGAAGAGTTTGGGTGGGCTTGGTCAGATAGCATCTGTATGATCTAGAAAGGGGTCCTAATGTGCAGGGTACAGTCACAACACACACATCTACAAACACACACACACACACACACACACAGTGTGTATACACTCATCATAGCAGATCCCATTTGGACTGTCTGAAGTAGTCCTCACCTGCCTTTGTAGTATGTGGAATGTCCCTGTAAAAGCACATACTACTTTTGTTCTGTTTTATACAACAAAGTTCATCTAATTCAACTTCAAAGGGGGCAGAGGATGGCGGCTGCTGACAGGTTACGAGCGGCCGTATCGCATGACAGCCGAGATGTAAACACACACATACAGGTGCACGGTTCTGCACGCTATTCAATCATGACTGCTGCAAAAAAAAGAAAAAAAAAAGAAATTGTTTCTGATTGCATCAGCGTGCAATCACATTTCCAAACCTGGAACACTCAAGCTTAGCCCACCAATTTAGATATTTACAAGTTAAGAGAGGGAGAGTACATGAGAGCGAATGGAATGTGTGTCTGCGTGCGTCTGACTAACATTAACCTCAGACTAAACAAAAGCTGTAAAGCCATCTGCTTTGAGGCCGGCTGCTCAGACCTAATCTGTTACAACTAGCAGCAGGCTGACAGAATCGGCAAAGATGTGCTCATAAACCGAGGGTTTTTGACGGCCTTAGAACGTGGCAAAATAAACATGTTAAATAAATCCCAGACACTGATGGAAACAAAACAAAGATCAGTAATGTGAGGCCTATAAAATCCTCTGACGAGTCAGTGAATTTGAGCTCATTTAAAACTAAACTACAAGTCCAAATAAAGGTAGCTAACATGATATGAAGCACAGCTTCCATGACTTATGAAAAAGAAGCATGTGATCAAGTCTTGATTGATTGTGGTTTTCCTCAAATTCAAACAGGCTCTGGTACATAGTACATATTTATACCCCACTACTGGACGAAGGTAGGGCTGGGTAATAAATCGATTTCAACCAATTCATTGTATTTTTGGTTTTTTAAGGTTTTGCGAACACTCAAAGTAAGTCCGGTGAACCTTTGGGTGTAAAGAGTTGACGTTAATCGAATAAATTAAGTGGATTTAACTTATTTTTTTAACACAATTATGACTGTCACTTGATTTAAAAATTAGATTAAAGTCTTTAAAAATGTAATCTAGTTAATTTGAAGTAATGGGAAAGGATATTATGTGACAGTGGTGATAAATCAACGAGGCATCCCAAGACGCGGAGGCACCAACAGCTCATCAATACTTACCTCAGAAATATTGTTTTTTGATCTTAAACCAAAACATCTGCCACACAAAACATAAGTTGGTAAGATCTTATGCATGTGCACAGCGGTCATATTTTTTTGAAAGCAAAAATATGAAACATGAACAACTGATACACACTTCTTGGTTCGCTCATGGTAACGGACTCGATGAAGTTCTGTGGAGTCATGTACAGCTGTCCTTCGTACTCTACAGAGCTGAACATCCGGAAACGATGCTCGTGGGACGACATGTAGACATCTCCATCCTCAAAGTCAAATGGACGTGCCTGCAAAACGTAAAACCAACATTTTTACGTAGATTGTACAGATTTACATCAGCAGTTTGATCAATATGCAAGTTATTTGAATGTGAGTATCATCCGATCTCAGATCAACAGATTTATCAGATCAACATATTTATCTGCGCACCCCTAATATGAAAAGCATAAAATAGTCTACACTACACAGTATGCATGACCAAAGTCAAAATCCTCAGTCTCAGTTTGGTTGAAGTGAACTCTGGCACAGTTTGAATGCATAAGTGAATGCCAAGTGGGCTGGTGATCGCTCCAGAAACAGGAAGTGAACTATAGCACAAGGCATTATGGGTAAATACAACGAACGCAAATGTACTAGCACGAGAAATATTTTGTTTTCTTTTGCCAAAGATAAAGGAGAAATTCTATAAACGCTAAAATCTAATGCCTCTCAGTTATTGTTCAGATTACATGATGAAGAAGGTTGCCCTCAGTGTCTTCTTCAGAGATTTTTGTGTTGTTTCTTTTAGTGGCTCTTGGTGCAGCGCCACCACAGGCGAGGGTGGAAATAGGTTTTTCAAGGGTTGGGTTTATTTGACACAGTGCAGTGTGAAAGTGAACCACACCAGCTGAAAATGTAACAAACGTTGCAACTTTGATTCCCAGTCAAGTGTACCAGACTATCAGGTGTGCAAACATCCTCAGACAAAAATGTTCAAAGCTTTTTCTACAGATCATAGCATTTTCAGCAGTCCAGGAGAAGCTCAGGTGAATATTAATAGGTCGGCTTTACAAACTAAAAACTCCTGTTCAGTTTCGTCAACCCGCCTCCTAAGTCTCATGGACTTCAGCATCCAAGCCTCTTCCTTAATGGTGTACTTTAATAATGAGCATATCCATCTATTCTTGGCACCAAGTCTCGATTCAGCTCTCTGAGATTATAAATAGCATCAGCTCTTCTGCTACAACTAAACAAGAGAATACAGGCACACACAAACACACACAAGCCGGTACTACTTTCTACTTGATTGGTCTCTCCGTCTCTCCCTTTCAGTACAGACCTGTGACTTCAGCTGGATTAGCTGCAGAGATCCACCAAGAGACTGTAGCTGTGCAATTAGCAGAGAGGTTTCCATATTTAAGCTTGTTTGAGTTTGTGCTCGGCTCAGCAATCATCCTAATGAGCATGCTAGTTCATTCATAAAGCTTTGATGCTTCCTTTACCAAACGAGCTCTAGAAGGCGCGAGTAAGAGATGAATAGTTGATTGTAGGGAAGTAACTGTGATGGAGATTAGGAGACTCTGCACCCGTGGGTTTGACTTTCACTAATGAATGGAGTTTTTAAAGTTTTCCAAAGGCAACAAGGCTTTACATCCCATGCCGCTCAACATGACATAGAAGCATGCAGGCTTCACTGAGAAGAGAGAATTATTCATTGGTAAGGAGCATCGACTGGACTTCACATGGTACACTTTGTTCTTGTCTAGTTATGTATCCACCACTAAAACTGCAGCTGATGTGTTGCCTGCTTCTCGTGACTGCACAGCAGATGCTCCAGGTGTTTTCCCCTTTGGCATCTGGGTGTCTCCCCTTCACAGCTGCAGCGTTTTATTTTCTCCCTCTGCCGTTCTCAGTATCGCTTATAAACCAGCCCGTGTTCTAAATAAGTATTTTCTATAAACTACCCCGTTTAAATCCAGTTGTGTCAGTGCGATTACAAAACAGAGTCACCTCAAATTCATTTCTACACTACAATGTAAAAGTATTGATGTTTTCTACACTACAGCAGTTAACTTCATCTTAATGTATTGTGGTTTTATGTGAAAGACCAACAACAAAGTCCATAGTGGATAGTCATACGTGTGGTGTGTTGTTTATATAGTCAGTACTTTCACTGAAATTACAGCTGCAAGTTCAAATAGCAGTTTAACCTTAATTTTAGCTTTAGCTGCATGCTTAGTGTTAGTCTTGTGTTCATAAAAATAAATTACAACTGACAGAAAATATTTTAAAGACACTTTCTTTAATTTCAGTTATTCCTTCTGGGAGTTGACCTAAAGTCAAAGTCCACAACATGATGGGCAAAAAATGGTTGGCCCTTAGCAGGCCAACATCATTCTGAACTACAGAAGCCCAATGACTGAACTGGAGGCGGGGGGGGGGGTTCAGATTTTCTAAAAATAACATTTTTATAAACAGCAAATTCAGTTAATCAATAAAATCGACTTGTTTTCCAGCTCCAGAACCCTCACAACTGACAGGGAAACTGCTTTTGAAAGATCGGTTGCCCAGACTACCGTCAACAGGTCTGCAGCTGATTATTGGTTAGACACTGCATCCCTCAAAAACAGCATTTCAGTTGCTATTGACATTTTGTGAATTATGACATTTCCAGGATACCACTGAATACTTATTTTTTGTTGCTCTTTACAACATAGTCATAGCTTACTATTGCAGTTTGATAGAGTAAAGCATTAGAATCGCCCATATTCTAATGAAAAAATCATGATGAAATCTAACAAAAAGATTCTGACAATCTTTTCATTGTCAGAATTACCTGACATTGAAAAGATTTATTTAACTCAATTAAATAGTTATTTTTGTTGTTTTTTGTTGTGTTTTGTGAAAATTAACTGATTTGATATGCTGTGCATCAGCTGCAATCCATAGCTTAAGTAGCAGGTTGATTTTACTCCTGAATATATGAAGGAGTTGTTCATAAAAGTTGAGTCTTAGATCACAAGTCTAAGTCAAGTTTTAGTGTGAGTAGTGCAGGGATGCAACTTTGCATTTCCTGAGGTGAATATGGACACATTATAGCAGATCGCATCACCACTGTTAAATGCAAAAAATGCTGACTAAAAATAATTTTTACGTCATAGATTTGGCGCCCCCACTGGTGCAGCGCCCCTATTCGTGGCATATAGTTTGTGCAACTGATTAAATCTGACAAGCATCTAAAAGTCAAGTCATCTTCTCTATGAAATATAATCTTATGTTTGATGACCAGGAAAGAGTCAAAAGTGCCAGAAATACTGCTATGCTACTGTAAAGCATGGCAGGTTATAAATTTATTAAAAATACATTTATTTATAACTTTTCACAGGTCTTAACGTAAAAAGGAGGTTAAATTTTAATCCACACAATCGACTCCCGACAGTCTTGAGCTTCAAACCTACAGTCTCAGCAGCAGGACCGTGATATTTGTACATTTTTTTCCTCTTTCAGATAAAATTGTCTTGACAAACATCATGTTTTTATTTCATTTTTAATTTTTTTTTAAAGTGTGGTGTTTCCATTTTGAACATTATTGTGTTTACTAAGATGTGTCGGGTTGTTTTTATCCGTCAAAGTGTCACGAGCGCAGCTGCGCAGTGTGACGACGGTTGGAGCGCGTGTTGTCATTTCAGCACCAGAGCGAGAGGGAGAGCGCCACTCCTTCCTCTGCAGCCAAACAGTGAGCGAACTGTTTCCACCGTGCGTGTTGGAAATAAATGACACACTTTACCCACCCAAAAAAGAAAGAAAAAAAAAGCTGAGGGAGAGAGGAAAAAACATGGTAACTGCTAGGAAAACCAAAGCGGGAGCTGCGCGCGGAAGGAAGCATGCCTAGAATACACAACACTTGACTTGTTTTCTTAATGGGGTCTCTCTCTTTTTTCGCCCTTAGAGGGGCCCTTGTGTCAACAGAGATTCATTTTTACGTCGCTACGTGTCACAACAGCTAACCGGCTCGCTAGCTGCCTTGTTTTTGTAGCCACGTACCTTCTCTTTAGCTTCAATGGTGGGGATGGACGGCAGCGGCAGACCATTGATGCTGCGTCTCATCATCCTCTTCCTGTCGCTCCACATTTTGTTATAAAAGTACAGAGTCAGGACACCTCCCGCTGCGGCACACAGCCCGGCTGTCAGACACCTCCGAGTCCGTCGTCCGTTCAGGCTGGGAGCCCCAAGAAGCTCGCTTTTAGTCGCAGACCAAGGGTTCAGTTTGCCGGCCAGCGCTGCCGCTCTGCGGAAAGCGGCCATTGTTGCCGTCAGTGCTGCTGCTGTGACTGTAAGTTTAAGGGCAGCTCGAGACTGTCGCGAGTCGACCGGTCTCATCGCGAGATGATGGTGAGGCCGAGAGCGAAGAACTCCTAGCAGGGATTTGATGCTTGACTGAGTGAGAGTGAGTGATTAATCTAATTCACTGTAAATTATTAACGCATATGCGAGGTAGATTGACTGTTGTTGGTTTGTCTTGGACTTTACAGAAAAGCACAAAACTGTCTTAAAACTGAAATCAGTGAAAAGTACAATGAAATACAATTGGAACAAGTTTATGTAAACCGAATAACAACAGAGACACACCTTTTTTCACATTGTGTGAAATTAAATCATCAGACCAAACGTCTGTTATTTTATTCCAGTTAGAAAATCTATGTCTTTTATTTGCTAAATATCACAACAACGAGAGAATAAAGACATCAGAAATATATGAATGTCTTCAAAATTAGAAGTTTGCATACAGAATAATGATGATGTCAGGGACTCGGAAACTCCTGATAGGTTAACTGACACAATTTACAATTCAAAAGCAATGCTACCAAATACTGAGGAACTTTTTGTGAACTTCTAACATATTCTCCGATATGTTCTTTGTCTCATTATTGTGGCATTTTACAAATAGAAATGGTAAATCTAACTGACCTAATACAGGAAAAGTTTGGTTTGACTTCAGACAGTGAGGGGGAAAAAAAGACATATCCTTCTTTTTATTTGGTGTATGTAAACTTCTGGTTTAAACTGTGTGAAAAATGAAAACACATAAAATAAAATGAAATAAAAGACCAATTTGTAACACATCAGTAAAATGACCAAACTATACAGTTCTATAGGAAATACATAAAATAGCTAATCTCTTTGTGAAAATGAAAACATTCAAACATTCTTTAAAATGTTTTTATCTAAGCTTTTTAAATTTAAAACAGTTGGTTTAACACTTTGCCCTTCCTTGCCTCATTGCTCCCGTGTTTTAAAATAAATACATATTTTTGTCTTTTCTTTAACATAACACAGTTCAATACATAAATTATTTCTGCTATTTTTAATTCGTGTTCGATTTAAGGCTGACATTCACCTTCAATCTTCCCATCTCCGCCACACGAGGCTTCTTTCATCACGTCTCCAACCCTTAAAACGGTTGCGTACGAACACTTTCTGGAACTAGCATAAAAGGCGTCTCACTTACATACTGGGAAAATTAGGAATGACCGATCACATTGACTTGTGTCAGTCATCGCCTCTCATTGAGGGTCAGCCCGGTGTCAGGTTTTCAAGGGTAAGTGGAGAATCAAAGCAGCCTGTGGGAAACAGATATCAAACAGATATCAAAGATGGAGTCTTCATTTTAAGTCTCCACATGCAGGACTGATGTTAACCTGATGGGGCTTTTCTTAAGGCTTTGATGCTGTGAGAATAAAGAGTGGAAGTCTAATGGAGGGGCCTGTCACCTGTTCACACATGAAGCTCAGTGGATCACTCTGGTGCTTAGCTAAAAACAGATCAAACAACAAATATCAAGATGTCTTGGTTGAAATAAAAATGACGGTTGATTGTGGGATTAAGTCCTTTTAATCTGTTACATGATTCTTTTCTACTCATAGCCCACTGTATAGTCTTGATCAACAGTTCTGTTGGTTTTGTGAAGGTCTTTCAAAAACTGTCACTCTGGTTTTGTGTTGTTGTTCAAAATCCAGCAAAAACATCGTACAACACCTGAGCAATGCATCTGATATGTCGTTTGGTGATGACCAAATTCTGCATTTTGTGCCAAGTAGTCTGTTTAAAATTGCTTTTACAAATTTGTTTGCTCATGGATTATTTACAGATCAGAAATATGATGTCTAATAAACAAAAAAATTAAATGGTCAGGTAACGTTTGTGAAAACTTCTAGAAAAAGAATGATTCTGTGTCTTACAAAAGTATTTTACCCTTTGAACTTTGCCACATTTTGCAATATTAATCACAAACTCCCATTTTACTGAGATATGTCATAGGGGTTCTGCACAGTGGCACAGCTGGATGGATAATGTGATACATAAACAGAAAGTAGTTCATAAACACAAAGCGGAAGAAAAATGCTAAAATGTTCCTAGAAAAAAAAATTATAAATAAAAATCTGAATAATAGTGTGGCGTGCATTTATTTTCAGCCCCTTGCGTCAATAATTTCTGTAATCTGTAATGAAGCCCCGTCACTGTACGTAAAGTGACTTTGGATGTTGATTTTCAAGTCTGCAACTCCTCTGGAGTTACCATGGATATGTCGGATGGTGTGCTGACGAATGCTTTTCCTGCCAGCTCAGGCGGACGGTTGGTTTTGCGAGTCCCATTTTCAAATGATGGATCAAAAAACAAACTGTCAGATATCTGATTTCGAGAGACTGCTTTACGACCTACTTTAAACTCCACAAATTGAACGTGGGCCGTCCAGGTGTGTTCACTGGTCTTAACGTGCTGTTTGTTCACTAATGTTCTTTCACGAAGATCTGAAGCCTTCGGAGAACAGCTGGATTTATACTGGGATTAAATCACGCGCAGGTGGAACGTGTTTCTGATGGATGGATGGCACACTTTTCAGAGTTTCATTTTCACTAAAAGCATTATATTTCAGCTCACCTAATGTTGATTCAACAGCTATTGCAAAAAAGAAAAACAACAAAATGCTTTATGTTTTTGGTTGCAACAAGGCAAAATATGTAAAAAATATACAAACCAGAAAGCTATGAAATAAAGGTTTTACTGCTTTTTTGATGTTGTTGTTTTTTTTTATACATAAAACAACAGAAATACAGAGTGCATCTAATTTGACCTTTTAATTTGTGCCTCTATGAACCCCAGGAGTTCCCCAGACAGCAGTTTGGAGATCACTTGCATTAATAACCTCCAGGCTACTTCCTTCAGTTATTCCATTACCCAGCTTTTCCATTAAAGGCAGCGATCTCTTTGTGTGTTTATATGTATTGGGAGGGAGCAGGGGAGTCGGGGGGTATGACTTTAACCCACCTCTTCATCCTCCTCCTGCTCCTCCTCATCCTCAAACTGCAGTTGCTTCATGCTTCATTTCTCTCCATGGCCACAACAATAGTGAGAAAAAAACAACAACAACAACATGGACGTTATAATTTAAAACAAATCATGTGACCCTGGGAACTGCTCTGCTGTGAGTGAACGTGGGGATGTGAAGTTGACGTCTTCATTGAGGCCAGGTCGATATCCAATACGTCTGATCAGCCTCGGGCGATTCCGATTGATCCAGCCTCCTTTAAAAAAAAAAAAAAAAGAAATCTTTTGTGTTGGTCATAAATACTAATGAACTAAGGGAAAGAGGGAGAGGATCGTGCATCAAACACAAACACATAAAAGTGTGCGCTCTCGTAGGGCTGTATTAAACATATATGAACTACTATATCTTTTGGTCAAGCTGCATAACCTGAGGTGTGGGTATATGAAGTGACTGCTCTGTACACACCTCCGCGTCTGAACCTCATTTATCAATTTGACGCAGGGGGAAAAGGCGGGGCGCCAGCAGAGGCTGTGGGAGTACATGCGCGCAAGTCTGTTTTTGCTGCCAAAATCAATTCCACACATAGGATTCTGTAATCAGCATGGACAAAAAGTTGAATAAGTTCATGTTAAACTGTAAATATAACACAACAAACAAGGATTTCATACGTGTGTGTGTGTGTGTGTGTGTGTCACATCGATTACAGCCCCACAAACACAGATACTGTTCTTGGAAAATATTCCCATTTATAACATGCTTCTTTAGGACACTTAGTCACATAAAGAAGTGTGATTTATGTGACTAAGATGCACGCAGTAACTGCATTTGATCATGTTGTCTAATTTATTGATATGTCTTTATTAAACATTAATGTGTTTAAAACATCATTAATTGGTGTTATCATGACAACAATAAATCAAAATCTTATAAGAAATTTATCACGATAAATGATGGACGATACAAGAAACTCCCACCCTCGATATACACACAGAAAAAAAAGAGAACGTGTTTCAACTTAAAAATATGACAATAAATCAAATTAAATGTATCCAAGTTAATTTATGAAGTGTATGGAGTTTGATAAACTTCATTTAATTACTTATGTCAAAGTTACACATTTTTTTAGTGGGAGCTGCATTCTTTTTTTTTACAAAACAAGCTATGTCATCTAGCCAAAATATATATATGTGTGTGTATACATGAAAACTTAAGGATTAACAGAATGAATATATATATATATATTCATTCTGTTAATCCTTAAGTTTTCATGACCCTGGAACATGTTAACATGTCACATTGCTAATACACACTTCAGTGTATTTTATGGGAATTGTTGTATGTGACACACCAACACAAAGCAATGCATTAATGTGAATAAAAGGAAAATAATACTCAAATATAACTGAGGTTGTCACAACCCTTCTGCTGTGTTTTCCTTCATTTTCACAGTTGCATGCTACTCGGTGTTGTTCCATCACATAAAATTTAAATGAACTACTTGGCTATAATGTAACAATATGCAAAAAGGCTTAAGGAGTATGAATGCTTTTGCAATACTATGTACTATACTACATTTGTCTAAATGTATGGACACGTAGAATTTGTCTATAGAGATATAGAAAACAATATAGTGGCCATATTTGTCTTTACATCTATCAGACAAATATAAAGTTTTATTGCACATATTTACATTGGATGACATTAGATTTGTTAGATTAATGCACTTGCATCAAAAAACATTCTTGAAAATTAAGAAATGTTGTAGCTCCTCTATTTGTGCACAACACATGTACCGTCTGTTACAAGCATCGTATTTTTTCATAAGCATGTTTAAATCAATCTGGTAGGCCCATAAAACACGCATCTGGTAATTGATTCCACAATTAGATGAATCTAAAGCCCGTATAATCTACCTGCTTAGTGTTCAATGACAGAGTCCAGTATTCATAAGCCAATAAAAATCCGTATATTTACTAAAGAATCAGCATCACTCCCTTTTTTTTCTTTTTTTTTTTTTTTACCCTCAAGTCCTTCAAGTGTCAAGTGTCTGGGTATTTTGCAAGTTTGGA